AGCAGGCTTAGCAGCATTTTTGATAAAGGGTCAATAGTGAAACTTCAGCTTAGATGGCTGAACGATCTCTATCTTAACTGCGCGACTGGACACTCCTATATTATAATGAAACTATTTATTGAAGGGCCAGATTTGACTCATGGGCTGTATCTACTGGTCATGGGTGGAAAGAGTATTCTCTTTGGAAAGAGAACTGCTGGACCACAGGGTCACTGGGATAGGAAGCACCCTTTTCCTGGTGGCCAGTGAAGGGCTGCAGAGAGATGAGCTGCTTTGTCCTGGAGTGGACGTTGCTGAGCCCTGACTAGACAAGAGAATTTGGCATTAACTGTTTTTTCATCTGGTCTGTAAACACTAATTGAGCACCTGCTGTGTGCTGGGCACTGGCAGGGTTACAGTTGTGAGAAAGTGAAAATTGTTGTTTCTTTTCTGGACTTTGCAGTCTGCTGGGAGACACCTTAAACAGCAGTCAATCTGTCGAAAATGGGTGCTGTGCTAGAGATCCAGGGCCACATTTGTGAGGAGCTATAGGAAGCAATGTGAGAATGGGGCTTCTGCATGAGACCTGCAGGGTAAGAAGCTGTACTTGTGCTGAGACCTGGGAGGAGCAGCCCAGGCCAGCATGTGCCCAGAAAGATGCCTTTTATGCCAGTGAAGACTGGCTGGTGATGAGCACCATGGGAAGCATGGGAAGCATGGGAGAGTCAAGAGATGGGTACACTAGGCTGTGGGACCCTGTGGGCAACCACAGGAAAGGTGTCAAAGGGGAATGGGTGGCAGGAGGTCAAGAGGCCCTTGAAAGCCTTTCAGGGGACATGGGCAGCCTGGGTCAGGTGGCAGTCGTGGTGGTGTAGCAGGAGGGGCTCACTGGGCTTTGGGTGGTAGGGAAGACAGAGTCAAGGATTACTTAAGCTTTGGATCATTCTGCTTTGTTTGTACACAGGGAAAATGGGCAGGAGATGAGTTTTTTATGGTGGTAAAAAGCATAGAACATAAAAATTTCCATGTTAATCATGTTAAATATTCAGTTAGGTTGCATGAAGTGCACTCACATTGTGGTGTGACCATCACCAACCCCTCTTAGAGTATTTTCATCACCTTGCATTGAGGTTGTGTCATTAACCAATAACTGCTTACTCCTGCCTTGGCCCTTGGCAAGCACCACTTCACTTCCTATCTGTATGAATTCAGTGACTCTGGGTACCTCATGTAGATGGGATTTTGGTGACAATGTATTTCATTTAGCACCATGTCTGCTTGGTTCTTCTACAGTGTAGAATCTTCTTTTTCGAGGCTGAATGGCATTCTGTTGAGCAAATGAAACATACTTTGTCTTTCTGTTCACCTATTGTGAATGCAGCTGCTATGGACATGGGTGTGCAAACATGGGCTTATGTCTTTACCTTCCCTTCTTCCCTGCCATATACCCAGCAGTGAAATCCCGACAGCATATGGCAATTCCATATCTCAAGTTTTGACAAATCACCACACTGTTTCAGGAGCAGCTACACCATTTTGCATTCCCACCACCAAAGCACAAGTATTCTAATTTTTTTACATTCTTGCTAACACTTTTTTGTATTTTTTTGGTACTGGGAGTTGAACTCCAGTCCTTGTGCTTGAGAGGCAGGCAGCAGAACCACTGAGCTAAATCCCTGGCCCGCTTTTTTGTATTTTTTGAAATAGTCATTTTAGAGAGTGTGAAATGGTTTCTCCTTGTGGTTTTGATTTTCATGAAATAAAACTCAAAGTTTCAGCCTGTTGTGTTGATGTCTATCTTAGTTAATTTTTTCATTGCTGAGACAAAATACCCAACACCCACAAGTTAAGGGAGGAAAGGTTTATTTAGCTCACAGTTTGTAGAGATTTCAGTTCATAGTTGGCTGACTCTGAGCGAGGGTGGTATGGCAGAGGGGCATGGCAGAGGAGAAACAGTCCATGGCAGGGTAGATAGAAGGAAGCGAACAGCAAGCAAGTGACAAGTGACAACACTAGCCCTCTTTCTGTCTTTTATATTTTATCCATGTTACCTGCCCTTAGGGTGTGTAACGCCAAGGTGGGGCATCCTTTATCCTACCCAGAATTATGCTAGTCCAATCAGTGGACTAATTTAGGAATCACATTCCCTTGATCCTAGCATCACATACCTTTCAAAAGCCCCACCTGTAACTGCATGAGGCTTTGAGGGGCATCAAGACACAAGCCATGACAATGTCCTCATGAGCCATCCCAGTGGAGGAGCCAGAGGCTGGAATTGAGGAGTCAAAGTGAATACAGGGTCCCTGGCTCAGAGGCGATTGGCCAGCCATGGCCTGGAGGAAGTGGCAGGAGTTAAAGGGGACTCCAGGATGGGTCCTGTGGGAGCTGACCAAAAGGTAAAGGACAGGAGGGGAGGAAGTAGCCAGCTGGGGCCTAAGAGCCAGGGCTGCCTGGAGAGAGCAGAGAGCCAGCTTCCCTGGCACAGGCAGGAAGCTAGTCCCAGAAGGAGAAGTGTGCCTGTGTCAGGCTGTCAGCTAGGTGAGCTCAAGCAGCCTGGTCACCCAGACCAGGTTTCTGAGGAGCTGGGCTCCAGCACACATGCTGTGGGGCATGAACTGTGCTGCAGGGTTTGCACTGGTGGCCACTGAGATTGTGGCTTCTTAAAGCGCATTCAGTTTGGCTTCCAAGGTGCAGGGGTGGAGCTGGCAGAAGCCACATGGTCCTCTCTGGTTATTGGTGAAGGAGGGTGTTCCTGACATGAGCCAGCGTCTTAGCCTGCTATAGCCTCCCCCAGCTGCAGAGTCAGCACAGCCATTGGCTCTAAAAGAGATGAGCTCCTGCAAATGGGAATGAGTTCATTGGCTCTGCAACCATCCTGATATCTAGAAATATGGGTCATTTAAGGCTCATGTGTAACAGAAAATGTATCTAACGTGGCTTAGAAGACACAGCAGTTAGTTTTTCACAGCTAGTAAGAATCCTGCAGAAGCCCATTTAGGATCAGTGCAGTTGCCTAAGGAGAAACCAAGAGTCCAGGTTTCTTTGGGCTCTGCTTTGCCATCCTTTACTTGTGGGTCTTATTTTCATGATCACCAGATGGCTGCTCTGCCTCCAGCAATCACTTCCAGATTCCAGGTAGGAAGAAGTTAGAAAGGCAAAAAAAGCACAAGCATATACCAGCTGAGTCACTTTTGTTTTCCACACAGTAAGCTTCTTTTTAATTTCATCGGCTAGCTGGGTGTGCCTAGTCTTCTCTAACTTCAATGAAACTAGGGAGGTGTTTTACCAAGCTCAACAAGCCAGGGTCCTGCTTTTGGAGAGAAGGACGCATTGGGTGTTTGGCAAGCCAACTCCAACGTCTTCAGCAGGCAGGGTTAGGGAGGGCAAAAGGAAGAGCTGAGAAAGAGAGAACAAGGGCACGGAGACCCCAGTGTGCTCTGGAAAGCTGAACTTCCAGTTTCTTAATGGTGTGGGGGCTGCTTCCTCCTTTCCCTAAATGGAAACGAAACCCTGAAATGCTTCCTGCTCTCCCTAGCCTGCCTCTGGATCTCCTTTACGAGGGCCCAGTGCATGAGACCCTAACATTTCCCTTTACTTACACACAATTCTTTGTGACTGTTTAGAAAAAGAAAGAGGGGTAATTTAAAAATGCACAATTCCACAAAGATGACATGCAATCTGCTTTGGTGTCCCATGACAGCCAGAGCTACAGAACCAAGGCGGAAAAAGTCAGAGGAGGCAGACACTTTGCACTGTTGGTCAGAAGGGGCTTGAGAGAGGAATAGCCTGACTGGAGGTAGCTATACTATATCCCTTTTCCCTGAAGCTGCAGCTGGGTTCTGGTCTCCAGCCCAGCTTCATCCCGAGGATGAGCCAGGGTTCCTGGAGAGGAGCAGGGAGACCTTCAGAGACCTCACCTCGGCCCTCCGTCCTCTGGGGACCCAGCCGCTGGGATGGTGTCCCCAACCCCACATGACTCTGGCTTCTGCTTATCTGCTCTGGGTCCTGGTTCTGTGGTGGCTTCCAGCTGGGGAGCCGGGCTGGTGTGAACGTACAGAAGGTGCTGGGATGTGGGGAGTTCCCTCTAGGGTGGGGCAGTTGGACATGTGGGTTGGGTGTTGGAAGCCAATTTGTGGACAGGGGCCAGGTGATCCTCAGAGCCATGGCAGTACAGTGTAGGCCCCTGCCGGCTGGATTCTGTCTCCAGCCAGGAAGAGGGCAGGGTTGGGTGGAGGTGCCTAGAGGCAGCTGAGCTGGAATAGCCTGAGCATCTGTCTCAGTCTCCCTCCCTCTTCTGGGACCTTTGCTCTCCACTGCGGTTTCAAAACCCTTTCAAACGAGTCACAGGCTGGGTGTGGCTCCATGGTGGGTGCTACCTAAGCATGTGGGGTCCCCAACAAAATACAAGTTAGGTAGCTAATGTTACCACAAGCATGTTGAGCTGTGTTCTGGGTTCACTCCAAGGCCGTGGTCTTGATGGCATTACAGTGTGACCAGGGAGACAGATGCCCTGAGCAGGGACAAGTTGCTGCCAGCAGGTGCGCTCAGTAGGAGTGGTGATGAGGAGCACGTGGAGAGGCCAGCAAGAAGCATCAGGGAGGAGAGCAGGGGAGGCATCTGGGCAGTGACAGGGAGTACCCAGCCTGAGAGAGGGCAACGGTGGGCAGGAGAGGAGCCCTGCAGATTTCCACCAGCTCATGCAGGTGTGGGGCGTGCAGCTCTTGCTGTGGACTGAGGATGCTGCTTATGTACAATGGGGAAGAGCGGGTGACAGGGACCACCTGTCACTTCTGTCACTAACACCGGGGACCTGGAACCCTCCTTGGGGAGATGGGCAGAGGCCAAGTAGAGTGTCCTGGACCTCAGGAATTGCCAGGAACAGCACACACACTAGCATGCATACACATGTGCACATCCACACATGCATGCCCGTGCACACAGGAGCATGCTATAAGTTAGTCCTATCCTCAAGTGCTGGACATGAAGCTGAAATGATAGAAGAGACCAGAAAGCCAAGGTGATTCAAATGCTTTGTCTTTTTATATACATTTTTAATAAAGCGCTGGGGACCCCAGTCTGACATTCTTTGTGAGCAAATTGAATTTTGTTTGTTCTTTTCAAAGAGTTACTAAGTCTGTGGATTTGAAACAGATGTCTGCAGAGACCAAGTCCGTCACTCACTCTAGGGACAGTAGAGCCCTTGGGAGACTGGGCACTTGGAGCTGTGCTGGCCTGGGGTGTCTTCTGTTTTCAGAGTGGATGGGGTGCCTTTTGCTGATATGGTGGCAGATGCAGGCCGTTTCAGCAAGTTCGGCTTCTACCGCAGAGCCAGTTATCCTGGAGGTTCCTAAAGGGCTTTACAGGTGAGGAGGGCCTCTGTCTCTGCTGCATGACCTGGAAGAAAGGTGAAAATCCCTCCTTCCGGGAGTTGATGTGTGGCTGGGGGCTCTGCAACACAGAAGTTTCTGCACATAGGTAAATGTGTACCACAGCCCCCTGGGGAGCTCCTCAAGTTTCCTCATCTGTCAGCTGAGAGACCATCTTCTCAGGGATGCTGTGGATTTAAATAAGGAGATTTCAGTGAGAAAATAGCCCTCAAGGCCAATACTCAGTGGCCCGTGCATGAGGCACGTTCCTGAACATTTCAGAGGTATGTGCACGTGGACACCTGTATGCATGCATGTGAACACATGTGTGCATGCACACACAAGATTGCTGAGATCCCCAAACAGAAACCAGTTTTAGATGGCTTATTGTTGTTTGCATTGGACTGGAACAGAGCCAGGATGAGTTGAACTAGAAGGTAAATGACTCCATCACCCAGGAAATGCCCGCCTTTGCCCTGGGTGGCTTCCTGCTGGCCCTCAGGTGTCTTAGATTGCCAGCCCCTCCTACGCAGTCCGGTTACCTCGTAGCAGTCCATTATCTTTCACAAGCCTTGTGATCGCCCAGTTTGAGCTGGTCTCCCTCCCCAGTGTCATGTCCCTCTCACTCGGCCCCAACCACATGCACTGTGTCCACAGAGAGCCAAGGTCTTTCCTGCCCCAGGGCCTTTGCAGATGCTAAGTGACCTGCTTCGAGTCCCCTCCTTGACACCCCTCATCTTCATTCCCTTAGACTCAGATTACTGTCTGGAAATCTCATCTGTTCTTGTGCTGCTTTAAGTTGGGTGTCTGCACCAGAGCTCCAGGAGGGCTGGGCTATGTGTTCTGCTCACTGCTGTCCCTACACCATCTGGGATAGGGTCTGTAAAGCATGTGGAAGGAACTGGCCCAAATGCATGGACCCCCCAGCTCCTTTGACTGCACTTCCTCCTGAAGTTGCCATCTGCCCTTCAAGGTTTGCAAACCAAGCCTGCCAGGAATTAAGTTTTTGTTTGTGAAATACAGCTTTGCAATGTTGCTGTCTCAACTGAAACAGGCACTGCTGGGCTGAGACTTCAGGTCTGAGGTCTAGCAGGGGCATTCATGGTTCAGCTCTCTGTCTCTGTCTACCACAGGCTGTGAAGACAGAGTTCAACTGCCCTTTGCCACATCATACCGGCTGCAGGGCTGGTGAGTGACTCTCCCAGCTCCCTCAGGTCTGAGTGGGGTATCCCAAGGGCTGCCCTGTGAGGCTGAGCTCCTGCACTGGGGTTGATGCCCCTGCTGCTGCTGGCCTCTCTTTCCTGCCCTCCTTTATGTTCCAGATAAGCCAGGTGATACTGAGTCTGCTGCTGGGCAAATGCAAACTGTTCCATGTGTGAGTCAGGTGCTGAGTGATGGGCCTCGGATACTGTAGTTCCATGAGATCACTGGGAGCTAAAAATTCCTCTTAGTGATGTTGTAATGTCATGTCATGGTGTGAAACTTATCTGGGTCACCCTGCGGGTGTAAACAAATGTTCTTCTTCAACAGTCATTTAAAAGAACAGCACACACAATTGTGTGTAGTGCATAACACTCAATAATGGTAGTAAATAACCTTGCTACTGGTTTATGTGTTTACTATATTTTACCTTTCATCATTACTATACAGAGTACTCCTTCTACTCATTACCAGGAGATTCACTGAAGAGCAGTCTACTGTGTGAGGCTGGCAGGAGTCTTACACTGTGCCTGGATGCCACGTCCCTGTATGCAGAATTGTCCTTGTGGCTGCTCTCACCTCATGTTGTGCTGTTCAGTGTGGCCCAGAAGCCACATGGACACACCTTGTGGCCCAGGTGTGTGGCCAGCTGTCCCTCTGTCTGTGTTCCTGCAGTCTGTGGAGTTCACACAGGGATGGAGTCCCCTATTCACATAGTCCTTAGAACATCTCCCTGTCATAAGTGGCCTGTGACTGTGCCCCACCACTCCATAGTTACGATTATTACACAGTAAACTCTGATAAATGCCTCTGCTCATGTTTGTTCACAGATCCTCTGACAAACTCTGAGTTAAACAGTCTGGTCTTCATTTTACAGAGGAGGAAGTAGAGTCACATCAGAGAGGTAAAGCACTCGGTCCTCGGCCCAGACTCTGTCCTTTCCATATCCAGGTCCCACTTGCTGTGCAAACTTTATATCAAGTGAATGGCTGTATAGACAAGAGCCAATTGCAAGGCCTGCACTTTAAAGGGTGTCCTTGAGCCCTGTGCCACTCCACACTTTGAAAAGAGTGTTCAATGATATGCTCACACAAGTCCCCTGAGACTCACAAGTGCCAATGCGAGCACACTTAAGCCACCTGTGCAGAAACATGTGCTGCAGTTTCCTGTCTAACCACAGACACCATGTCTGATGTGTCATCTGCTTAGCACCTCACATCCAGCTGACAGCGCCAGGAGTTTCCTAGGTTGCCGGGCTCAGCCACTTGCATTCAACAGCTTGGGGACCTGAACCAGCCAGAACCAGACCCCGTCTGGTAGGAAGGGCCACCAGCCAGCCACGGAGCCCTCTGCTGGTGATGCTTGAACAACAAATGGCTTCTCAAAGTGGGAAGATGAAGAGGTTTTTCTTTTTATGGGTTGAGATTTAAAATGACATTGTATAACTAGCAATTTCTATGTTTGTTGTGACACAAACACTTAAATGTTTGGCTGCTGGTCTTCTTGGACCAAATTCTCTGCATCAAATGAAACTGTTTTGCTGTAATGAGCTACCATACCTGGCCAAGAACAGTTCCTATGCTTCGTTTACTGCCCAGCTGTGGACAAAGTGGGTGATGGCTAGGGGCAGGGCATGTCCTCCACAGAGTGGTGCATGGGCCAGAGCACCCAGAGGCAGAGCTACAGCTCAGGAGTCCTGGGGTTGGTTGGGTTCTGAGACTGTGTTCCCTTTTGCTGGAAAAGAGACAGATTGTCAGAGTGCTACAGTTCAACAAGGGTGGCACTGGCTGATCTGCACTTTTTATGGAGGAATCACTGAGAATTGGACTTTACATCATTCGATCTGTCAGAGGGTGACTGTTGAGACCACTCTGCAGGACATGTTAATCCGAGGGTCATTACAGGATGATGCATTTAGTCCTGGCATGGCTTAACACAGTGGCGGTGAACATGGCATGTGTGCTGAAGCAGGCATGCAGAGGCCTCTCTGTCAGCATGCGAGCCAAGTCACTCCAGCAGCCAAACATTGGATATTCAGGTTTAATCGCAGTGTTGGCACTTTGTAATAAGTAAGTGGGTTTTGGGTTGCAGTTTGGGCTCTTGTCTCTAAAAGGTTCACCATGACTGGCTTAGAGGAAACCAGATGACAGATCCCACCAAAGATGCGTGAGATGGATTGTGAGGATGGCTAGCTGGAAATCAGTGTCTTAGGAGGGTGAGGCCCTCTGAATACAGTAGATTTATGATATGTTTCTAGACAGTCGGGACATCCTGAGTAATTTAAGAAACTTAATTTTTTTCATCAAAAATACCTTTCTCAGGGCTCTTATAATGGTTGCAACTAAGAAAAATCAAGGTTAGCAAATTAAGGTAAAAGAGGATGTTTCATAAGTGAGGCAGGATGGTCTGGTAGAGAAATTAGGTGCATCCTCCCTTCTCTTAGAGGGCTGGCAAAAATCTGGCTCCTCTGGTGACCTGATGGATCCTTTAAGAGAAGAGGATTTTTTTTAAAAATTAGTTTTATTAACATAATTTGCATATGAAAAAGTTGTCAAATTAAAAGTACAATTTGATGAGCTTAGACAAAGGTATACTGCCATGTAACCACCATAATCATGGCACAGAAAGAAATCTCCGTGCCCCTTTGCTGTCATTCTCCTCTCCTCATTGGCACCTGAATTGCTGATCTGCTTCCTACCATCAGTTTGCCTTGTGTGGCTTCATATAAATGATTCAACAGGACTGGTTTCGTGGTGTCTGATTTCTTTCACTTAGCGTGATGCTCTTGGGAGCCATCTATGGGTCTCCATATATGAGCAGTTGCCTGTTCTTGTGGCTGAGTAGTATTCTGTTGTGTAGATATACCACAATTTGTTTGTCTGTTTACTAGTTGATAGATAATGGATTCCCCTGTGTGACTTTATGTTTCCCTGACTCCAGAGTATGTACCCAGGAACAGGAATGCTGGATTGTAGAGTAAGCACATGTATAATTCTATGAGAAACTGTCAACCTTTTCCAAAGTGCATCTACCGTTTCACACTGCCACCAGCAATGTGTGACTTTTAGCTGTCCTACATCTTTGTCAACACTTGGTTTTGTCTGTCTTTGATTTTAACCATTCTGGTGAACGAGTAGGGTATCTCAATGTGGTTTTAATTTGCATTTCCCTAAATACAAAATGAACTGAGCACCTTTCATGGACTTTCCTGTACTTGTTTATCTTGAGTGAGGTGACTATTCAAATTACTTGTCCTATTTTGAAAAATTAGGGTTATCTTCTTATTTAGGTAAAAGAGTTCTTTATAAATATCCTTGGCTATCCTTTATTAGATGTATATTTTGAAAATATTTTCTCTTGGCATTTACTTGCTTTTTTAATGTTCTTGAAAGTATCTTGTACTGAGCAGTGCTTATGTTGTTTCCATTATGTTTTGCTCCATCCTATAAAGATTCTCCGCTTTGCTTCACTTGCTGGGCCATATACACTGAATTGGAGGATGAGGGGGCAGGAGAAGCCACATTGGCCTCAGGCATCAGAAGAAGCACTTGAGGTGAGAATGGGGAGAGTATATTCCCACTCTGAGGTGCCAGACCCACAAGAAGACAGATATGTTCTCTGCTCCACCCCTGGCCCAGGTTAATGACCTCTGCCCCCAGTGCATGCTGGGACTCAACTCTATCCTTCTGGGACAAAGCCTGGATTGTAATGAGGGTATTCTGAAGATTGTGCTGAGGTGCAGTGAGCCATTTCTAAGGAAAAATCTTTTGTAGTCTCTAGAGGACATATCTGAATGGGGCAGTTCATTTGCACATGTCAGATATGATAATTTCCTTTGTAAATATTGTTCATTTGTGGCCAAAAGAAAGATCTGAGTTTATATTCAGATTCTACCATGTGCCAGCTTAGTGACCTCTTGGAAATTAATTTTTTTCATCTGTAGAATGGTGATAATAATAACTTCCTAGTGATTGTTGAAGGATTAAAAAAGATGATTTATGTAAGACCTAGCTCTATGTAAATGATGTATGCATAGCTTAGCACTATTGTTCATAAATGATGGCTATGTTTGTCTCATTATATATATATATATATATATATATATATAACCATCTAAAATTGTTTTGAGAAGGTCACACTGAACTGGGCATGAGGTTGAGCTGTTAATTAGTGCATGGATTTCTGTGAGCAGACCAGTAACATTTATTGTATTATATAAGTATTTATTTCTTTGAGCTAACAATCCTAACATTTCTTCTCTTCTTTCCCTCTTTTGGTGCCTGGTCCATTGTCCTCCTAAGTTTTAGTTTAATCTGCCACACACAAGTGTTAGCTCAGTGGAAGTTGCTGAGAAAAGTTGAAAGAAAAGATGAAAAGCTCCCACTGGCCCAGCTGTAGCCCACAGCTGTGGAGTGGTGGAAGCCACCAGAGGGAGCCACTGTGGCACCATGGTGGCCTTGTGTCTGCTCCTGGCTCAGCCCCTCAACATGCTGGCTCCTCAGTGCTGTGGGTCCCCAATCCCACTCTCCCTTTGGCCTTTCTTTGTGTCAGGTCTGACTCCTGGTTATCACTTGGGAGGCTCCAGCCCTCTGCCCACCTGGGTGCCAGGCCTTATTCTGACCTCTGAGCCTCAGAAATCTCTTACATGAACTGCCAGGTATGGCCGGACCCCTCTGTTGTCCTCTGGCTGGAGGCTGGGGGATGATGCTGATACCTAATCCATAAAGATTAGGATGCCCCTGCTCTGGGCAGACCGGAATCATCCCAAAGTGAACTCTAGCCTGTGATCCAAAAGAAAGGATCATCACCATGGTGTGTGGCCAGGCCAAAGAGGCACACACAGATTTTTACAGGAAAGAAGACTCAGGTCTAGAGAGAGGGGTGAGTGCTTAGGCGAGGCCCTTGGGTCCAGAAGTGTTTCCATTCACCCAGATTCTAGCCATGCTGGCTTCTAGAGCAAGGCTAGAGGCATTGTGCTCAGATCTCTACTCAGGGCTGGAGCCTCAAGGGGTAATTCCCATCCAGAGCAGCCATGGGGTCCTGCAGAAGCCAGGCTCCAACTGAGACCACACGCTGGGTTAGCACCTCCCTCCGTCCCTTCTGAGACTGCTTCCTCAGTAACCCCATGGACCTGAATCCCTGCCTCAGGCTTTGCATCTAGGGAAAGAGACCTAAGACATCTCCTTCCAGACTTGCTCTCCATGTTTCCCCCTCCTACAGGGCCTCTCCAAGGCTGTTGCTCTGCCTAAAGTCACCCTGTTCTCCCTCACTCTGCCATCTAGTTAATGTCCACCTGCAGTGCAGCTTCCAGGGCACCAACTTTGTGGACTTTTTCAGCTAGGTCCCTCAGACCTCAGCTGCACAGTGTCCCTCTCTAGTGAATCATGTATTTTGTGAGCATACGACTTTCCTGTTTGAATGCATGTCCATTGGTGGCAGACATGGACCTGCTGTGCTTACCACAGTATCCCCAGTGCCTCCCTTGGTACTGGCTCATGGTGGGAAGGGACTAAAAACAAAAGAGAGAAAGCAAAACACGAGTGAGGCAGGAGGGGCCAACACTGCATGGGAGCGGGGGGGCATGTTGACACAACTACTGGGCAGAGACTGTCCTTATGCCCTCTGGTTCAGCAGCCTAGAGGCCCCTGAAATCTGGGTGGAATCTGGATGGTCCTAGAGTGAGGGACACAGACCTGAGCCACTGTTTGAGGGGAATGTGGGAAAC